AAATCTGCTTAGCGTGTTGGTCTTTGTCATGGGTTCATGAAAAAGCGCTTCTAAAATCCTTGTATTTACTTAATAATGGGCATCTATTAAATGACAATAAGATAGTTCAGACTGAGAACCTTCCTAGATTCTAAATATGGCTTATTAGTAGAGAATTCTACCATTTATGTAGAAAGTCTGGACTTTCATCATCCTATCCTCTAAGGAGAGGAGGGGTACTGGAGTTGAAGTTCTGTCACCAAATATCAAGTGGTGATCCCAAAAAACACACACAAATGAGGAACACTAATTAGACTCAGTTCATTGTGTTTATATATTTGTTCACACACACACACACACACACACACACACACACACACACACACACCTCAAAAAGGAAAAAAGAAAAAGAGGGCATGTATTGTGAAGTGGGGTGGAGGGAGTACAAAGGAAGGATGGTAGAAGGGAGTTGTGGAATGATGTAAATAGTACACACATAAAATTTAAAGAAATTGTTATTAAACATGAAGACTTATTAAGAATGAGATTAGAGGGTTTTTATTTGTTAAATTATAGAGGTTAATGCTCATTGAATATGGTGCAAAACCAAATATTATGCTATTGTAATACTAAACACTCAATAATGATTTCAAGGAGTAAATGAACATGTGGGAACATTGTGAGTAAAATACTTTATGAAGCTTCAACTCTTTATTACTCTACTCTTTGGTATTTTCCAAGCATGAAGCTACTTCAGGTTTCAATTTTCTACCTCTCTACTCAGTGTTTCTTCTTCTTGCTTCACTTTCTTCTCTAGTTGCATCATCTAGGATTTGTAGACTAATATTAAATGTGATGGTAGTAGAATTTTTGTTCTGTCCTTAAGTCTATTGGTATATCTTAATAGCTCATAAGTGAGAATAAAAGTTGGCTTAAATTTTATTAGAATTTTATTAACTATTTAAAAGTAAAGTGCTAATCATTATTAAAATCTGTTTTGGCAACTTATTAAGTTTATGAAAATTTATTATTATGCAGGTGTAAGATTTACAGTGTGTTAATGTCGTGTTATAGAATTTACTGAACTTTTGTATAATAAAATTATTGATCTCGTGGTCTCTAAAAGTAATAATTTACCCCACCAGAAGGTAAACTTAGCATTAAAATACTTAGGAGTATTCTAAAAATTTCAATCCAGTGCCTAACACAGCTAACATGTTGTAGGAACAAAATTGGCAGCAACAGAAGTCCTTTTCAATTCTACAAGATCTACTGCATTTCAGGTTGATAAATATTTATTTTGAATATAGAAAGATTGGTACAATAATTATAGTTGAGGAGTGTTCCAGATTAACTCGAGTGTTTCAACAGAAAGAACTTTCAGGCTATTTTCCAAGCCTCAGGGGATTTGCTTGTGGTTTGCTTCACATCTTGTTGTCAGTGTTTTCAGGAGTGCCAGGATGTTCCTTGGACTCACCAGGCCTTATGCACAACACTCTCTTTGCTTTTACAGCTGCTATTTCAAGCAACATACATAACTCTACACAAAGGCACACAGCGTTGTAATCCAGAAGTTAAGGTTGACTTTATTGTAGATCTTAAATGACCTAATTTAATCAATAAACAAAATTAAATGTAGATAATTTTCAAGAAATGAAGCTTGGGAAATTCTTGCCCCTTTTTCACTCTGTAATTTCCCCACTTTTGTGGTCACAGTGGTTAAGAGCACAGCTGGGGAGGGAAATGTAGATGGGAAAGGCAACTGACTCCTTGCACGTGGCTGCCCAGATGTGTATTTCTCAGGGATGTGGGGCGAGCTCTTTCTGAATAGTTTAGCATGGCTTTTTTTTTTTTTTTGTAGAACAATGATGAAGAAACAAGTTGGTATTATTGTGTTTAGCAAGAGATACAAACTCTGGTAATCATAGTCCCCAATGCCCAAATACCTAAAGTCCATAGAGGAACCACAGAACAAAGTATTTGCAAGTTGGTGTAGTACCCACAGGAATAAGTGTAAAGTGTGCAGGGATAAACAATTCATTCAAATCCTGATCTATAAGAACATGCCCTTCCAGAAAATATCTTACCTGAGATGTGACTCAGAAAGGTCAGGGGAAATGAAGACAGGCTGAATCATAAGGAAGTAGCCACACAGAGACGTAAAGGGTTGTTAGGGACAGAGAGTAAGTGCCTTGTACTTTGGAAAATTTTCATTTTTTGAAATATTGGAGATAACTTTATATAGGCCAAAGTTTGAGAGTCTATAATCTTACCTGGAAGGGCTAATTTAATCAACTAGAATTCAATATAACACCTCTGAAAACATTACAGGAAACATCAAAAGGGTTTCAGGCTTACATCCATGAAACCCAGTACACACTTGTACATGAAGGGTTTTAAATAAAATTTTTACATTTACTTAGTGTGTGTGTGTGTGTGTGTGTGTGTGTGTGAGAGAGAGAGAGAGAGAGAGAGAGAGAGAGGGAGAGAGAGAGGGAGAGAGAGAGAGAGAGAGAGAGAGAGAGAGAGAGACAGAGAGTCAGAGAGTCAGAGAGAGAGAGAGCAGAAAATGCCGTGGACCTGGGGTGACAGGCAGGTTTGGGCTGCCGTGTGGGTGCTGAGAACTGAACTGAAATCTCTGTAAGAACAGAAAGCATTCTTACGTGCTGAGCCATCTCTCCAACCCCACATGAAGTTCTTGGGCCACCCTTCTTTGCAAGCACACCCAGCCCCTGTAGAAAAAATAACCACATGCAAATTGCACCCTTCATCTCCATCAACTCCGTTGTTTCAGCCACTCACTGAGTGAATTATTACTGTCTACCACGTTTTAAACACAGCAGCACTCCTGTTAAGACTTGGCTGTGAGTACACCCTGTACAACTACTCCTGCTAAGGAACACGAAAACTCACACGAGACGGCTAGAGCTGTCCTCGCTTGTTTAAAGCAGTAGAACTTGTCCTAATTATATTTAGGGAGCTAGTGCACTCTGAATATACAAAGAAAGGTGGCTCTTGATCTGAAAGAACTACCTTGAAAATTCTGAGGGGTTAATAATAGCTGTACAATGCAAGAATATTGTCAAAAAATTAAGAGTGGCAAAATAATGACAGCAATTCTAAGGGTGAATTTAAAAAAAATAAAATAGATGGGACTCTGTTTGGTTATCTTGAAGTTATTTCTCATTTCAAAGAAATAAAAGTATTGAAAAGAGTAGTTTGTTGATAAGTTCATTGGTGAAATTGTGACCACACCCTAGGAAGAAATGACACTGGCCTTGTAATGTGTTACAGTCTGAGTGTTGGTGTCTTCACAATTCATGTTGAAATCTTAACTTCTACTGTAATGGAATTGAGATGCTGGGCCTTCTTTAAAAGGTCCAAAGGGTGCTTGAGTGTAAGGCACAGTGAGAATCCAGTGGTATTTTACTGAGAGCCTTCATCAGAACCCTACCATGCTGACACACTTCCCAGTTTCTAAAATTGTAAGAAATCAGTTTGTACTGTTTTTAAGTTACCCAAACCATCGTCTTTTGTTCGAGTGGCTTAAATGGACCAAGGTACAAAAGAATATACAGACATGCTTAAATTAAACATTCAAGATTAATATGTTATTTTTATAAAAATGCAATTTCTTTACCTTTCTGAAGTAACTGCTAAGGCATTACTGCTGCCATCGGAGACAGTGATAACTATATCAGTAACTATTCTTGTACAGTCCCCTGAATGTATAAGCTTTTCTCACAACTTTATGGCTCACTATACCTTTTCTTTAGTTGAGAAAAATCCCCATGTGATCTCCAGGCTCAGTTACCTGGCATAGTCCAGAGTCTTGCTTTACCATATGAAATATGACTTTCATTTTGTCCTTGTTTGTATTTTTTTCCATTTAGCCTCTACTTGTTTTGTAATATCTTAAAAATTAATATTTTATACATGTGTGGGTATTTTGTTTGTATGTATGTCTGCATTCCATGCATGCCTGGTGCTCGGGGGGGGGGGGGCAGAGTTGAGTAGAGTGTTGGATCCCTGGAAATGGAGTTACAGAAGTTCTTAGTCACGTATGGGTACTGAGAACTGAACTTGGGTCCTCCGTAAAGGAAGAACAGCCAGTGTTCTTAACTGCTGAGTCATTTCTCCACCCTCTTTACCTGGTTTTGTTGTGCTTTTCTTCTGTCCTAACAGCGGAATCGTCATTGCATGTTGGGGATTCCCCAACTTTGTAGCAAAGCTTGCTTCTTACTGTAAATTTAAACACCAGTTGTTCTCTTATCTGTTGCTCTTGCTCACACAAGCCCCAAACTTGCTGCTGTCAGCCACTATCTCCAGCTCTGTCTTACTCTGGCAGTCTGTGGTGTGAAGTTACTGAGTGTCATTGTTAAGCCATTGTTTACTGGCTATCATTGTATTAAAGTAATTTAGTATGGTTTCTTAACAAATTGCTATTAATTATTGAATTGGCTAAAAATATCTTTCTGGAATCTTAACCCCATTAATGACTTACAAATGCTCTCAGTAACCAGCAAGGCCTGTGTGGAACTTCAGGAACCTATGTATGAGTAGTTGCCACAGTCACAGATGACAGTACAGCCATATAGAGTCCCTTAGCATTTAATGAAACGTGAAATGATAATACACACCATACTTTTTTTATTTAGCAGCTCTACAGGTTACTACTAATAATGCATTCAGAGTCAACTCAGACAACTTTACTGTAGTGGATGCTGGATGTTTCAGAGAACACCAAAGAAAAACTGCTGAGCTCACAAAATATGTCACCTGAGTTGTGTCAATTCCAGCTTCCTTTTTACATATTCTGAAGATTTTTGACAGTTCCAAATCATAGCTACAAAAAAAAAACCGCCCCCCAAAAACACAAGCATGCACATCTGAAATAGCCCATGCTTGGATTTGAAGGCACAAATTCCCATGGATGCCTCAGTTAAGAGAGAAGCAAAGGCTTGTAGAAAATTAATTGACTAATTGGAGATTCCGTGGACCCAGGTGTAGCTGATTGATCAAACTGGATGCCTGTTTCTCATTATTTTTTTTTATCATTTTTATTTCACAATTCTTGGAAGTAGCAGTTGGCATCTCGGTTTTGAATATTATCTCTGACCAAAAGTTTTGATTTTCCAATATGAAATGCAAGAGGGAAACTGGCAGAACCAATCCGTAATGTCACATTACACTCTGTTCCTGAATACATACTTAAGCATTAGCAGCAGTTGCGATGATGTGAATATAATACAGGGATTTAATACATGACCAGACAGACACACCAAATTCAAATGGTCAATGTCAACACTGAAACAGAGGATTTTAGTGCTAAGGAGCTCAATGGTGTCCTTCAGTTACTTCTTATTTTCTTCAGGAGATTGGCCATATATACCAGGGATTCAGAGTTTTGGCTTGCAATCATGAGTTGACATTTTAATTTGAGCAGCTTACCTATCTTCTTTGTGTTTGCATGAGTATAGTCTCAGCTGGAGCACACATTGAAGTGTTCACATTCCCTCTTCCCTGTAGTTTGGGCAGCATCCAAGGGTGTAGAACCTGGGGTAATTTGTCATGGTATCTACACACATAGGAGAGCTATTCCTCTGCTCATGGGTTAAATGTCACACTCTTGCAGACTCTCATCAGCTCCTTCTATGCTCCCATACGGAGGCAGGTGGATGGTAGCAGCAGGAGGATCATGGTCTTGATAACTGATTCTGGAATTTCTTGGCTTCTAACTGATTACTTCTATGGTTGGTTTTAAAAAACAAACAAACAAAATCAAATGAGCTTGGTGTTTTTTTTTTTTCCGACTTCCTTTGACACATGGTCATGGCACTTCATACCCATAAATACATTTTGTCCTGCACTTTCTTCTTCGTAGCCACTTTGATTAAAGTGACCACACATCCACATCTTTCTGAGACAGACCCAGTTTCTGCTTGCTGTTAATTGTCTCTGACTTTCCCTTTCCAGAGTGGCGCAGTTTGGATAATAACTATACAATCACTCACTCAGTGGTGATGTTTGGCACGGAAGACTAGCATAGGTTCATGGCAAGGGATGGCTGAAGTTAGAACACATGCCTCACCTCCTGAAGAAAGGAAAGCTTAGACAAATTACTTAAAATATTTACTATCAACTTTAGCATCTATGGCAAAGAGTTTATCAATTATAATGGATGAATCCACATTGCCATATTATTCTCTCTTCCTGCATTCATTGCATCCTTCTATCTTCCCCTTAATCGTCATTTGAGTTTTGTTCCTAATTTTTAATTGGGCAACTTGAACTCTTAGTACTTAACCAACAAGGCAGAAACATCTTCTTCCTGTTTTATGCAAATGCTCCTGAGTTAGGAGATCAAAATGACTTCTCAGAATGCTGATGCTGTGCAGCAAGGTCACGATGACTTTATCTTCTGTGAACTATGAGGGACAGGCATGCTAGGCTTTTCATCCCAGTGATCATTCTGTTTGTGATGGAAGGGTCTTCGGTGTCTCATAATTCACTTATTTTGGTAAAAACTAGACATGGTGACATATGCTTCTTCTTGATTCAGCACTGAGGAAGTGGAGATGGGCTGTCTCTGAGAAACTGGCATCAGGATTCCTGACTGGAGAGGAAATGCCTGAGGGAGGGTGCCATTTGTGTTCCCAGGGCTTGTCAGCAAGTCTTGGTACACAGGAGGCCCATTCCTGTCACCATCTCTGTAGTCAGGGGACAGAGAGGAAAGGAAGGGAGGAGTGTTGCATGTACTCGGATTTCTCTCCAGGAGTCTCGGGGGTGACTCTCTTCTGAAAGTTTCTGGTGTGCTGACTGAAATCTCCGACAGCCGGTTTGGGCTGTGCACAGCTGCGCCATGACCCTGCTTCTCCAGCTCCTCAGGGGGAGATTCAGGCTGTGGAGGACTGCCACTTTGCAGAAAGGTTTCTACTTCATCTCTGGATTGAATGCCATTCACCTCATGAATCTGACAGTCCAGAAAACTTTCAGGATTGAAACTCACATTCAAATTCTGTAGAGAAATCCAGAAGCATTAGTGGCAATGGAAAGAGGAGCTATTAGATATTTGGTTCTGAAAAATAAAAAGACATCTAAGAAACTTTCTCATGCAAATGTACAAGCAATGCTAGAAAATGGCCTGCTTGCTCTTCTGCTGGCTCCACATCTTCCTGAGCTGTGATACTTCAGGTTTGAATTGAACCCTGATTGTGTTCCCACTCCCCGTCCTGTGCATCTCAACTTTGTTCCCCAGTATCTTACAAAAAGCTTCACCTATGCAATACATAAAAGACCAAAAGTTGAGTTTCAGTTTTCCCTTGTCTTGAACATTCTTAGACGAAGATATCTTCAGTATGGTGTTTCTCCAGCAGAAGCACTTACCTTTTTTGGTTTCTTACATAGTTGTTCCAGAGTTTTCTTATGATCAGGGAGACTGGGCCATACAATAGGTTTAATCCTAAAAGCAGAGAATATTCATAAGTTAAACAAATGGCAGAGGGAGAAGGTGCACAAATACATCATTCTCTTTGTTTGAAGGAGATTGTATGAAAAGTTTTCTGGTACTGCCTCTGCTACTATAAGGTAGCAACTGCGGACAGATGTCTTGTTTTCTGTGGGCAGTATCACCCACTTGATTATGGTATATTGTGACCATAACACTGTGATTATGGGAGTGAGGTTTGCAAGGAGGTAGTATTAATGTTGTTATGGAGCTAAAACTTGTAACCTAATCTTTTCTATTCAATGTCTATATTATCATCTTATCCATTCTCATTACTGGAAGTAGCTGTTTTGCTTTAATTTTAGTGGGAGTAGGGACTATGCTCTAAGCTGTTCAAGACATAATTTTATGGTAATTATTTTTCCATTTAAGACACCATTTGTCCTAAGAATATGCTGAGGGCACCTTCCTAGAACACTGGGTAATTTCATAGCATATGACTCTACCACAGTAGAATACAAAAATCTTGTGAATTTGTGTGCAGGAAGTCATGACATCAAATATACCCCTCGTTAGAATGGGTAATTCCTCCTCTGTCCTCAGGAGGATGTGGGGAAAATATTTGGAAATTCTTATTTGGGAGGCAAGGGACTATAGAGATGGTTCAATAAATAAGCTGCTTGCAATCCAAGCATGAAGACCCAAGTTCAGATACTCAATGATGACATATGGCATGCAGGAGACAGGCAGCCACTCAGATTTACTGACAAGTTAGTCTGACCAAGTCACTGAGTTCCAGGTTTAGTGTAAAAGCCTGTCTCAAAAAACAAAGTGGAAAATTATTGATTAAAAAAAAAAAATCAGTGTTGGGTGTTGGCTGCCTGTAGGTCAGCACACACATGAACACATAGACAGACAGATAAATAGACAGACAGACACACACACACAGAGGGAGGGAGGGATAAAGGGAGGGAGGGGGGGGAGGGAGGGAGAGAGAGAATATTTGGGGAATAATGTTTGCCTTACACATCTAGTTTATATATTTTTGCTTCTTCTGAAATCAACTACATAAAATTGACTGGGATCTAAGAATGGGATGAAATATATTTACATTGTAATTCTTGAAATGTCATGTTTCCCTTTAAAATTTTCTAGATAAATAAGTGGGACACAAGTCCTCCTTTCTCCGGTTTCACACAATTTCCCTCTTGATTATCAATGAAAATCACCTCTTTTTCCATAGCACACAGGCTAAGATGACCAACAAAACCACAGAGAAAAAACTCAGAATGCTGATACTTGGCAAAACAGGATCCCATCGCCCTGGAATACAAGGAGAGATCATGATTAGCATTCAGTAAGCAAATAATGTGGGGATAGATATGGTAGGTGCTTAGGATGGTTGGAATTTACTTAGTTACACAGTCTTATCGTTTCTTGAATGTTGGGAGCAGTGAGATCCCAGATCCTGAATTTCTTGTAAACAACTTGTTTTCCCCGGATCTGAGTGCCTACAGCTGCTCTGAGCACGAGACCTTCAGGAGTTCCTGATGGCAGGAGAGTGGCTTCTGGTGGGTTTGGCTGGGGCGTGGCTATTTCTATATAATCTGCCCCTGAACACAATACAGAGAGTATTCCTGGGGCTTTGGTATCAGTGTTAAAAGGTCTGCTTGTCGGTCTGTCTCTGCGTCTGTATTCTCAACCTCCAGCCCCTTGCCTTAAGCTCGCAAACTGGGGTCTAGCACATAGAGCGCAGACCCGGGACGTGGTGCGCAGCACTTGAAAATAGTTCTTTGAGAGACAGAAGAGGGGCTCTGATCTGAGCGACCATGGCAAGAGCATCAGTCACTTGAAATGTAAAGATGACATTTCATGATGGTCTATAAACCTGTATCCGACTGCCAATACCCCAAAAATAAGTTTAAGTAAGAGTTGAAAAGATTCACGTTCACCCTGAAGCTACAGCAAGTTGCAAAATGGTAGTTAGTGTGAAGCTGACAGAGCAGGGATAAACTCCATCCCCCTCAAAGGAGTTCTGTGTGAGGTGCTTTGGGCACTTTCCTGAGACATGTTCTCTGGTTTCTCTGGCAACTGGTATTTCCCATACCCCATGACATCTTCAGTAAACTGGGAAAGGATTTTAGTAGATGGGCATTCTGGCCTGGTAGGTTGTTATTAGCAAAGATATTACCTAGGAGGGGGTCACAGAGAGATCAGAAATGATCCCTTACAAAGACAGAAATGGTGGTGAGTAAGGAGTTCTTACAGATTTCATTAGTAGATTCAGGAGATTCTGAGTCAATGGCATCAAAGCAATTTATGTCCATTATCAGGTACAATGGCCCCAGCTCCCATTGCTCTTATTCCAGACAAGTGGCAAAGAAGGCAGGCAGAACATCCTCCAAAGAAAGTGAAAGAGCCCCCCCCCCCCCACATGTCCTGACCTGTGGGTATTTACATCAACCTCCTGCTCACTCCTTGCTATACTTTGGTATATGAAGCCTTGTGGAGGGGACAGAGATTCTACAGCTGTTGCTTACCTGGACTCCCAGGCTCTGGCGTTTTGAAGGTTGAACTTGGACTCCAGTCACTCCAGAAGCCTTTGAAGTATCTGGTATTGGGGATCGATCGGACTTTGATTTCATACACGGTTTTAGGTCGTAGCTTTCGCTCTAGGATTGTTGTTCTTGTGTTCAATAAATTGACATGCTGGGGTGAAAAACAACGGACATTGCTGGATATCAAAAGACATGTTGCCTAGATCTCTCGACTCACTTTAATACAAACTCTTTCAGTTGTGTTGCCGCTCCCTTGAAGTTCTTTCATATTTCTTAAGTAAAGGAGTTCAACTATGCAAAAGATTTGGCAGCAGAATGAGGGACAGACTCAACATGATGCCAAGAGAGGTCAAACACTGGCTGGTTGGGTCATTAGCTGAACTATCATCTCCTGCTTTGGAGTGTCTGATCACCTCTAGGCTCACAGCTACCTCTCCCATTCCAGTATCTTCTCTTTCTTTCTGTCTCCTTTCAAGGCAAAACAACGGGTAGTGAACAGTAACCATTTGTGTGAACAGACCATCTATTAGCAGTTATATGGTAACTAAACACTAATTTTGATGCGACTTACAATTGTGTTTATGTTTATTGACACAAACAAACCTACAGGAGAGGGTAGACATTTAATTTCATTTTTTTAAAAAGCAGAAAATCAGCTGATTGTCTTGGAACAATTTATTCATAATCCTTCTTCCTTCTACTAATGTTGCTTTCCCACTGAAACATCAATTCAGATGATTAATGAGAGAAGGTAGGATGAAGATCACCCAGTTTATGTATGTGTGTGGAGTAGGTAGAGAGAGGCAGCAGATGGCAAGGACAGGAATGCACATTTGTAAGTGGCATTGAGAGTAATGATGATGACTAGGGCATCGGGCATAAGGAAGCATTCTTTATTCTTGAGAAAGAGAAGCCATCTCTTGAAAAAAAAATCTATGTGACATAGGGAGGACAGGAGTTAAACTGGTAGGGTTAAACAAAACCCAACTACCAATATTCTCTGGATCTCTCCCAGCTCATCTCCTAAATGGATGCTAAGAGCAACAAGATCATCTTAACCTCAACAGACTATGAAGAAGCCGCCTTAACATCCAGAAAATGAAGAGCAAATAACAAACTGTTCCTTCTGCTGCAGGATCTTTAGACATTAAAATAAAAACAAGAGACAGACAAGAATTCTGCTCCTTTTTTTTTGTCTGACCTCCTGCTGTCCCCAAAAAATCCCAGGTGGGAGGGGAAGCTTTGCTGATTCTTGGTTACACTACAGAGAGTCACAATTTTTTCCTGATTACCTAATGGACTGTTTGTCTGAGCTTGTGTTATCATCTAAATTCTAACCATAAAGATACAGTTGAGCCAGTTAGATAATGAAGAGCCAAGAAAAGTGCAGGAGTTATGGGGTCTTAAATGAGTATGATCCCAGGAGCCTCTCCAAGTAAAGAAGAAGTTCTGAAGACAAAACATGATGATGTTTATTTTATAAACATGATATATGTTACCGTCCAGTTATTTTCACCCTTTTCTGGGCGGTAGGCCATGTCATGCATTAACTGTTTTACATACTTCTTGTTTGAGTGAGATGTATTAAAGGTCACCAAAAAGTCGCTTGCTTCTTTTCGATAAACTACTTCTAGGCCAAAAGGGGCTTCAGGTTTAACTGGAAAGAAAAAGAAGGGAAAGTTGTGAGTTGAAAACATCCTAAGTACATTTAAGCATTTTCTTATATTTTTTTCACATTAAAATGTATTTATATCATTTCTCTTTAACCTGTCCTCTCTCTAAACTCTTTCATTTGCCCCCTTGCTTTAGATCAAGGAGGTTTCATTTAATTCATGACTTCTTTTTTATTAATAGTTGATAACTATACTTTTAGAAGTCTTTCTGCTCTAAAGCCCGCCCTTAGAGCTTTCTGTGTTAGGATCTGATAGTTCACAAAGCCAAATCTCTTTTTCCTTGATTCACATCCAGACAGCGTTGCCAGCCTTCCTGTGGCTGGTGTGGCCTTCTGAGTGTTGTGAATACTTGGAACTGTACCAGTTCTAGTCTTGGCAACCAAATCCTCCCTTGTGTAACTCCCATCTTGGTCCATTATTATATACCAGGTCTTTTGGTAAAGATGATTGTGTCACACCGTAGGCAGCAGTGGTATGTGTGAGAAACAAACTTAGAGTGTCAGACCACATGTTCATGAATTGTTTGTTTTGGTGGGCGGTGATGATCTTATACACACACACACACACACACACACACACACACTTGCCATCATAATACTAGATGCTACTAATGAGCTCAAAATTAAGAGAATTGCAAGGTTACATCTGAGGCCTCTGGACCTGATTGCAGATGCCCCTGGCTTTGGCTAACAAATTCTAGAATGACCTCCAGACTTTCTCCTTGGTCAGTTTTAGTCAAATTAGCCTATTGTTCCATAATTCTGTGCCTATTGTTTGCCTGCCTCCTAGAGTTGTTGCTCAGAAACAATATGCCAGTATAAGATACACGCCTCAAAGGAGAAAGCTCTAAGCAGCACAGACCTAAAGTGCTGAATTTCTAGTAAAACATCTGGATCATGTCGGATATTCTCCTTTGACCTGAAACAATTTTATTTTATTTTATCAGTATACCTAAAACAAAGTAGGAAGGCAGGAAGCTGCATCTCTAGCCTTAGAGGCTAGGAGGATGTCTTACTTGAGGTTTCTGTTGCTGTGAAGAGACACCATGACCACAGCAACACTTATAGAAGAAAACAATTCATTGAGTGGGCAGCTTACAGTTTAGAGGTTCAGTCTATTATTAACATGGTGCGGAGCACTGTGGCATACAGGCCAACATGGTTCTGGCTATATCTTGATCAGAAGGCATCAGGAAATGGTCTGTCTCATTGGGAGTAGCTTGAGCGTAAGAGACCTCAGAGCCTACCCCCACAGTGACTCACTTCCTCCAACAAGACCATACCTTCTCCAACAAAGTTACACCTTATAATAGTGCCACTCCCCTTGGGGTCCATTTTCTTTTAAACCACTGCAGGGGACTTGATGAAAGGGAAGAGAGGGAGAAAGTTGTAGGTGTCCAGGATTCTGGTTCTAGGATTCAATCAGGAGGATTTACTTTAAATTTGTGCAAATGATAATTCTGTGACTGAGATGCCTCCCGAGGAGCCAGGAGAAAATAACCCTATGAAAAAACTACCCCATCACTTTTCATCCCACTTGCTCGGGGGGTGCAAGTACTTTCCAGTGCCATGGCAAAGATCCACACCACCCCTTTCACACAGACTTGTCCTACCAGCAGTATAAAACCTTGGCTCCCCTCACTGTTGCTCACATAAAAAAGTTAGTCTTGTGGTCGCTGTTGGGAGATGCAATGTGGTCCTTGATGAGTACTAGGCATTTGAGAACTGGGACCATGGATGGGCAGGTATCTCTAGATCCTGTGGGTGTGGTCTGAGTGCTCCAAAAGACTGCAGAGGCTTGTGTGCTTAGGTTGACACATTCAAGGATGACAATAGATATTCGATATTCAATTAATGTTGTAGCACTTTCTCAGAGGGTCAAGAATGGTTACCTGTTCTGTCCATTCTCCAAGAGACATACCTTTGAAGTATAAATGATGAAACTTTAAATAGGACACCTTTGTGCACCGATTTATAGGAGCCTCACGTCTAAATGAATAAAGACCAGCTTACTCATGCTCAAAAGTCAAAGATACTGTCCCTGCCTCATCTGTCACTCATGCTGCCCTAGCTCTTGTCAAACATGGTCTTGCATGGTCAAACATGTAAAGGCAGCCATTTGTCCAATATTCCCTTTCTGTGACATCTGCTTTTCCGCTAAGATAATTGTTCAGGCAGGGAACTTCGACTTTGATTCTTCGTCATCCTAGTTAAACACAGCTGAGGTAACTTTCTCACTTTATCTCATGTCTAACAAAAACTGCTCTGTTGTCTTTACTTTTAGAGTAGTGAAAGAAGTTTTGAGAATAGGGGAAAATAGTTCATAGCCTTTAAAACCAGCAAAACTTGTATTTATATATGATCACTCTGTACATTTTCCCATACATATTCACTTGTGAATCTCCAGATACAGAAAAAATACAAATAGCTAACATGTCATGACACTAACTCAAATTATAATTTAACTCAAATTATAGCTTCTTTTACTAGTTATATTTAACAAATATAATTATGTAGTCTCGGTCAAATCAATTTGTATATGTTTCACTCCTTACTTAATCTTTTTGGAAATTTTTTTATGTTATAGTTCATCATGGCTGGGCTATGGTCCTTACTTTTTAAGTTAAATGTCAGTCCAATGGTATTTTAAAACATGACTAAAATTTAAGTCAGTAGATTTTGAATGACACAGATTAGCTTTCATAGAGTAGGCATTGTTAACTCTGTAAAAGGCCTTAAAGATAAAAAGTAGAAATTTTCTCTAGAAACAAGTCTGATTCAAGAATGCAATATATTCTTGTTTCTTGCCATGAGAATTTGGATTCAAGTCTGCAACATCGGCAATCAACCTGAATTTATACCTTCTGGCTTATCATTAAGATTTTGAATTTATCACTGCTTCAATCACAATACCCAGTTTTAAAAATTAATCTGCTTTTCATCTCTCTCTTTCTCTGTCTCTCTCTCTCCCATCTCTCTCTCTCCTTATCTATCTTCTATTATCTATCTATCTATCTATCTATCTATCTATCTATCTATCTACCTATCCATCCATCCATTTATCTCCCACCCATAAGTTCTCCTCCACCTGTGTAACTCCGACAAATACAGAAAATGTATATTTGTTATTTAAATGATTTGTTAATTTTGTTATGCAAATTTAGACTACTATGTGAAATGGAGGAAAAATTGCAAGGCCTTCATGATAAATAAATGCAAAACAGAAAAGCTGCGTGGGAAGATGATAGAAGACTCTGTTCCAGTTACATTCCTCATGCTGATGTGTGTTTCCACCAATCTGTATGTACGTGTCATGTCAAACACCCTCTTTCAATCTTCTCAGCATATTTCTCACAGTAGGAAGTCATGGGTTACATTTTTCATTTATTAGAAAGAAGTTAGAAAAGTTGCTGTTGACTATTACAAAGTGTTTGCATGACCTGCCTATTTTTAACATACTGAAAATTAAGACGTGTCTGCAGCTATCCAAACCATGGCGACAATACTTTAATACGCAGCTTCTTACCTATCATGGCTATGTCCATATTTTTGCAAATTAAGTTCCTTTTTCCAAGCTTCACACATATATCGCTCCCACCAATCAGTAGGAATCCTTTTGTCTTTATGAAATATTTGTCTTGCAGCTTATTAAGAGTTAGGCAATCCATCTGTAAAAGAGCCCCGCTGTAAAAACAAAAAGCCAGAAGTCTTTATTCAGGTAGAAGTATCTGTTATACAATAAAATGACGTATTATACATATTTAGTTGTGTGAATTCATCTTTAGTGTCTACAAATACATAAGTAGGTGAGCTAATACTGCAGAGAAAAATGGGATGAATTAAAATAGGATATGCAAATTATCTGAAATAGTAAAAGCTTGCTTGTGGAAATTGGGAGAAAAAAATCCATGTAGTTTTTGGACTGCTCATTGAGAATCAAATGCCTCATTTAAATAATTAAGGAATTGGTGGCTTTGGGGATAAATAAAAAAAAATTCGTGCTATAGGAAATAATGATGCTATTTGTTCATATAGGATTAAAGGAAATGCTAAACTGGTTGAAAAGTTTATATACATAAAACTGCATATATTTAATAAGTAAACTAAGGGGTTTTCATAGGGGTTTTGTGATTTGTTTTGTTATAGAAGATAGAAAACTCTTTTATATAGCCTTGACTAGCCTAATAGTCATTACAGAGATCAGGCTGACCTCGAACCCACAGAGATCTGCCTGCCTCTACCTCCATAGTGCTGAAGGCATTTACCACCATGCCCAGTGTCATAGGGACTTTGGCTAATGAAACTCAACAACATATGTCAAAAAATAAAAGTAAATTTGGGTGTGGTGGTTCAACATTTAGGAGATTGAAGTAGAGGAGCAGAGGTTGCTTAGATTTGAGTCCAGCCTCATCAAGGGTAACTTCTATGGCACTATGGGTACATAAATTATAAGTTACCAGTATGTGAAATGTCATAGGAGACACCATTATATATTATTCAGATATCAAAACTAGAGGTAATCTAACATTTGTGAGGGTTAATATAATAATTTTGTTGGCGTGAAAGTATTTTTTAAAATTACAAGTTAGTGAAACTGAGCCACATATAAATTGAGTATCTCAATAGAAATCATATTCATATTAACTCATACCTTCACAAATAAAACTATATACCTAATGGTTACAGGCTGCTGAAATCTATCAAATGTCTAAGAAAGAGACAGTGCCTATACCCAAATGATGCACACTCAATTGACAAGGACATTTGATCAACTATGTTCATGGCAGCATTAATTGCAATAGCCAGAACCTGGAAATAACTTAGATGACTCTCAATCAAAGAATGGATAAGGAAAATGTGGTACATTTACAAAATGGAGTACTACTCAGTGATAAAAAACAATGACATCTTGAAATTTGCAGGCAAATGGATGGAACTAGATAAAAACATCCCGAGTGAAGTAACCCAAATACAGAAAGACAAACATGGTACATATTCAATAATAAGTGGATATTAGAAAAGAAGCAAAGGATAACAAGCCTACAGTCCACAGCCTCAGGGAAACTAGGTAAATGGAAAACCCTAAGAGAGACATGCGTAGATATCCCTGAGATGGGGAATTATACAAGATCTCCTTAGTGAACTGGCACCACAGGAGGAGGGTGGTAGAGGAGTGGGGAGGAGAGAAGGAGAGCGGGAAGGAGAACATGAGGTATAGGGAAGGTTGAGTTGGGTGAAGGACAGAGAGGGAGAACAAGGAAAGAGATACTTTGAGTGAGGGAGCCATTATGGTGTTAGTGAGAAACCAGGCACTAGGGAAATTCTCAGGAATCCACAAGAATGACCCTAGCTAGGAGTCTAAGCAATAGCAGACAGGGTACCTTAACTGCCCTTCCCCTCTAATCAGATTGATGACTCCTTAATTGTCATCATAGAACCTTCATCCAGTAACTGATGGAAGTAGATGCAGAGATCCACAGCTAAGCACTGGGTTGATCTCCTAGAATCCAGTCATAGAGAGAGGAACAAAATGTTATGTGCAAAGGGACAGAGACCGTGATGGGGAAACCCACAGAAACAGCTGACCTGAGCATGTGAGAGCTCACTGACTCCAGACTGACAGCCGGGGAACCTGCATAGGACTGAACTAGGCCCTCTGCATGTGGGTGACAGTTGTGTTGCTTGGGCAGTTTGTGAGGCCATTGGCAATGTCCCTAGTGCATGAACTGGCTCTGTCAAGCCCATTTCCTATGGAGAAAAAAAAAATTTGGCCAGCCTAGATACAGGGGAAAAGGTCTTGGTCCTGCCTCCAGTGATATGACAGACTCTGTTGACTCCCCATGGGAGGCCTCACCCTCTCTGAGGAGTGAATGGGGGTGGGGTGGGAGGAAAGAAGGGGGAGGAAGTGGGAGGATAGGAGGGAAAGGGAACTGGGATTAGTATGTAAAATTCTAAAATATTAAAAATAAATAAATAAAAAGGAAAGAGATAATGCCAATGTTACAGAAGTTTTTCCCCCAAATAGAGATGAAAAACACAATTCTTTGAAGCAAGCTTAAACTTGGTCCCCCAACCTAGCAAAATATATTATAGGAAAGAAAACCATCCCTAAAATGTGTGTGGAGGTCTGGGGATGTGGCTCCCTTGGTAGAATGTTTGCCTAGTTTGCTCAAAGAAAGTCCTGTATAAACCCAGTGTATGGAAATATACCTGTAATCCCAACTCTCAAAACAAGGAAGAAGAAATACTAGAAATTCTAGACCATCTTCATCTATTTAGTGGGATTAGAAAAGAATGGAATATATAAGACAGGTCCTTAAAAATGTATGTGCAAAGTTCTTCAAAATCATAATACTACTAGACTACAATAGGTTCAGTAGGTTCAGTATTCAACGATCAATTGGCATAATTCACCAATTAACAGAATAAAACTCTAAAAAGTTATGCATCTTTAATGGAAGCAAAGGTTTTTTTTTTGATAGAATCACACATTTATTCATGATTAAAACCATCCCAACAAACAAGAAGTAAAATAAAGACACTTGTTTAAATCAATAAAATGCTATTACAGAAAGTTAACATAAAAGACAGTGGTAAAAGACCAGGACCAGGGAAACAGTTCTCCTTGCATTCGCCTACACAGAGGTGCACGGGATGGATGTTCTCCTCAGTTCACAAGAGAAGGGAAGCAAATACAAGTGTGTGCAGATTTGAAAAGAAGAAACCACGTTTATTTGGCAGAGAAAAACTATCTGTTCACATGGGCATTTTTAAAGATTCCTGACATGATTATAGGAACTAGCTTAATTCATCAAGGCCATCAGAAAATGCCCAGCTGTATTTTTATGGGTAACATCAAAAAATTAGAAAATGAAGTTTAAAAATGATGGTTCCTTTGTGATGGTGGCAGGAGGATAAAAGACAGAAATAAAATTTATAAAAAGATATTCAATGCCTTTGTACTGGAAATTGCAAAGCGTATAAGGGAGATATTTGAATAAATCTAAATAAAAGGGAGCTATGTTCACGTGCAAGCAAATTAACTACTGATACATTAGATTTTCCCCAGTTTTATATACTGTTAATCAAAATCTTAGCAACACTTTAAATTATAGACTAATGAAACAACACTGAAAAAAGTGTATGACTCTTATGTGTAGGACTCAGTAAACCTTATTAGAATTAGGATCCCTAATCTTATGCAATTTTATACTTTTTAAATCTAAATCTACTCTTTGAAATATAAACATAAAAATGTGAGACACAAATACATTAAAAAAGAAAAAAAAAAGAGCACACTCATGTCATTCACCAAAGAAATCACCAAACCTTCTTAGTTTCCAGGACTTATACCCCTTTTCACACACACACACACACACACACACACACACACACACACACACACACACACACCACAGAGAGAGAGAGAAACAGAAAGAAGTACAGAGAGAGAAAATGCACACACACACAATCTCTTGTTTCTCTCTCACACACACAGACACACATAGAGACACACATTGAGACAGAGAGACATACAGAGAGACAGATAGACTCAGTCTCTTTCACACACGCATATACACAGACACACAAACACACACACGCTCACACTAACACACTCACGTGTATCTGGTTTGCGTAATCAACTTCTACATTCTGCCAAGACCTCTACTTCCATCTGAGCCCAGGTTTCACTCTTTAGAATGACTAAGCTGACCCTGAAGAGTGAAGAGCTTGACCAAGAAACAATCTCATGAGGACACTTCTCAAAAAGAAGGAAACCAAACTTGAGGCATGTGAAAGGAGAAGGAGCTAGTAATCTTTCTTTTATTCTGCATAATTTATTTTTATGGTGAGAATATATAATTCCAGAAAAACAAAAATTCTTTGTTTTCCTCATTACTCGCTTGCTTTCTGCTTTGTTGACAGTGCATTGTGTGTGTGTGTGTGTGTGTGTGTGTGTGGGGAAACTGCACTTAGCAAAATGTGCTAATCTTCAATTGATTTTTTTGAAATGTGTATGATATACAGCCATCAGTCAAGTTCTAGGTATAGGGTATTTCTTTTGCATTGAAAGGTTGCACAGCTTATGTGTGGTAGTTAATCCCAAGCCTAAGGGGAAACCAGAGCTCTCACTTCAAGTTTTCTTTTTATTAGATTAAAAAAAATACCAATCCAAATTTCCACTCTCTCCCCTCCTCCCACCTCACCCCCCTCTAATCCTAAGTGGCCCCTCAGTCTGCCCCAGCCATAAAACTGTCACCCACATTCAGAGGGACAAGTTTGGTCCTATGCTTGTTCCTGTTTGGCCAGCTGGTAGTAGTTCTCACCAATGCAACATTACTAATGTTTCATACTTGATTTCTTTAGCTCAGGCACATGCTGAGGAGTTTTATTCTAGATGATGCTTATCTTATGCCTCATCTTTATAGTTACCGAGTAACAAGTCACTGTATGAATATGATACAAAATGTCAACCTTTATAAGACCGTTCCTGGCCTCTGTAGAGAAAAAGGAAGGCATCTGCATGGCTTTGGCAAAGCTAGACATGGGGTCAAAACCAGATGTAATTATTAAAACTAGAGATGGGTAAAGAAGTTAGGTTTATTTCTTGACATGTATTTATTATTTACAAAACGTTCTTTAAAATTCCCCCTGCCAAAATTACAGTTTTTGTGAACTATCTGTAAGGATAAGGAATTGTCCAGCCCCCACCTCCTGCTGCCAACCTCAGAATCTCTAGGTACCGACTTGTGTGTTCGAATGCAATGTCCTTACAGAGATTTATCACTCAGAAAGGAGTAAGAATTGAAAAGCAACAAGGTAAACTAGGCACAAGGGAGCAAATGTGAAGTGAGAGAGACTTCTAATTGATGCACTGCTGTGATTTGCTGAATTAGAATAGAACTGAAAGCTTTGGGGGAAATACCAACTTCTGAGCTGGAGTTACACATGCAAACATAGAGAAAACAGAAGTCAATGGATTTTTATCCCAAAACTTAAAGTATCTTTATAAGTAACATATGAGTGAAATATTCAGTTATGGGGTCCTGAACCTGTAGCAACTTTCTGGTATTTTAGAAATTTTAACTGGATCACAAATAGTATCAGTCTACTCCCATTTCCCAGACAACGAAATTAGCAAGTGATAAGTAATAAGAGATCCAATGTTTTTGTTTATGAACCTGGGCCCCTTGTGGGCGGCTCCGATATCTAAGAACTGGCCCTATGGAGAGGAAGCCATGCTAGGAGACAAAAATAAACAAAGCAGATTACTATGAGCAGCTTTGGTTTGTGCTATTGACCTCCCTTAAAAAACTGGAGAAATCTATCACCAACAGTGGTAGAAATCTTGGTTCACTTGCAAAAATGTATTTGGTTTCTAACTGTGCACTGTGTGACTTAGGGATCATTTTAGACTCTACTATTCAACACAATAGCCTCTCTTCCACATGCGTTTGTAAAACACATGAAATGTGATTGGTCTCAATTGCAATGTGGTCTAAATGTAAAATGTACACTACATTTTGATAATTTTCTATAAAACGAGCATAAGATGTCTCAGCATGCTATTGATTATACATTGAATTAATAATTTTTTAACATATCAAATGAAGTTAAACACGTTATAGTTAATCTCATTTTTTTTTCTGTTTTGAAAGATGAATTGCTAGAAGAGACTGGTGAGATGGCTGAGTGGGTAAAGGTTCTTGTTTGAACCACAGAACCCACGTAGTGTCAAGAAAGAACTAAGATTTTTGCAGGTTGTCTCTGGCCTCCACATGCGCACAGTGGCACCTGTTTATCCTCACACACGCATACACATATATCACAACCACAACTACTAAATGTAATGAAAAAATATGGAAATATTTTTTAAACATTGCTTCAAGAAAAGTCAAAACTACTTATGTGCCCATAGATTTATAGACTGTACTATACTTGTTCAGGGCAGAACTATATCTGGGTATCTAGGGTAAGAGAAAGATCACAGTTACTATCCAAATAGTACATACATGAGTCATGATTTTGATCTTGTATGAGATGCCTTGGGGCATGAGTGCTAAGCCACATTCACAAATCGGGTTATGAGAGTAGAGAGTGACTGCTAAGGATCATTTAACCTAAATCTTAATTCCATTTCCTTCTTCTTACACATCTAGTCTTGTGTAGTTTAATACGATAGATGAATCTATCTTCTCTGTATAAACAGATGTTCAGACTGAAGGCCAATTATATTTATAGGTTCTACAAAAGCTAGTTCCCTTTCCAAAAAGAAATACATAAATTCTGAACTCTTTAGCTACCATCTTCTCAACCTAAGAAGGTACATGAATATCCTACTCAAAGTGTAGACACCTGATGGAAATGCTAATTCTCTAGAAGTTACTTGTATCTATTTGAAGTCAGCATTCTGTTTCCCACTAAATAAACCTCAAGACATATGGTACAGGATAGCTGTTCAACAGGAAAACACAAATGGATGCTCTGTCAGATAAACTCAAGACAGTAAAGGACAATTGGTGACAATGGGCAATGTGAAAGAAAGTGGGCAGAAAGGTCATCATGGCTTGCTCAAGCGAATCCACAGTGTTTGCTACAACCCACTGAAAACCTGGTTGGAAGACCTGAAGTCCAACCTCTGTGTTGAGGGGTCTTTTGTCCTATTCAAAAGTGAGAACATTGTTTAGATGAGTTATTTAACTGATTTAGCAAGTTAGAAGACTGATTCTTGACACCCCGTATTTTGTTTTGGTTTGAATGTGGGGTATGTATATATATATACATTTTTGTGGGGGTGCATATGTATGTGGGTGTTTTTATATTTACACACATGTGTAGGGCAGTGGTTAACACTTGGGATCTTTCTCTTTCATTCTCCACTCTATACTTTATCATCCAGATTCTCTCAGTGAACCTGAATTTCATTGACTGGACTAACTTTTTTTTTTTTTTTGAGACAGGGTTTCTCTGTGGTTTTGGAGCCTGTCCTGGAACTAGCTCTTTTAGACCAGGCTGGTCTCGAACTCACAGAGATCCACCTGCCTCTGCCTCCCAAGTGCTGGGATTAAAGGCGTGCACCACCACCACCGACTAACTTGGTTAGCCAATAAGGATCCACCTATCTTCACAGCTCTTCCACCCCCAACACATCCCAGGGGTGGGATTCCAGATATCACACTCAGCTTTTACAAAGGTTCCAGGAATCCTAACTCAGGCCCTCTTGCTTGCATAGCAAGAAATTTACTGGCTGCTCCTTGTCTCCAGATCCTGGATATTTATTTTTCTGCTCTCCATAGAAAGCATGCTATAAACGTGCAATAAGAGAAACAGACTGAGAACATACTGTGGCAGCCAAATCCAAGATCTTGTTCATCCAGCGACTACAGGGAAAAGCTGTGCATAGACTCAAGAAACTGCCATAAGCTCAGGAAAGTCAGAAGCTATAGCTTGTCTGGGTTGTAGGTGGCAAAGGACTGCCATAGTGATCACGGAATTTAAGCCTTTTTTAGTTCTGCAGATCTTGACATACTTTCCTCATCCGGAAACTTACCAAGAAAATGAGGTCATCTGATATGAATTTGGAAATAGCCACAAGTCAGAATTTCATATTAGAGAATTTTTTTTCAAGTCACCAGAGATAATAACCCTTGGCAACAAGTGATGACTAGTGGGCGAGGGAAACGATAAAACTCATTTAGTTTTTATTTTACCAATGTTCAGACCAAAAACTTTGCTTGCACTTTTTTTCCTTTAAGGCTACATAAAACCAAGAATCAACTTGGTCTTATGAACTATTGGTAAATTTCCATTGATTGTATCATCTGAAATTAAATTGTTTGAAAAGAATGGTATATATATATATATATATAATTATCATTTAATGTCCTTCTCCCATGAATAATTAAACATTGGACATTTATTTGAGCTCTTTACACATATTAAATTGTTTAACACTATAACCTTCCTATGAGATCCATTCTCTAAATTTTTAGATGATGCTTTTGAAGAATATATGTTATAAAACTTGCTGCAAATCAAAAAGTTATTAAACATTGGCACCGAGAATGGACTCCAGGCAACTACACTCCATAATGGAACCTGAAGCTATTCCACTGTCCTAAGGGAATGTTCTAGGAGATGTAGTCTCTTAACTACTGTGACCATGGGCAGATGAGTCTCTGAGAACTACAGCACCATTTGTGGTGTTTTTCCTTGGGAACCAGCAAATGAAGTGAGAGTTGCTTCACTTTAATTTTTGGCAATGGACAAAGTATTTTAGGAGGTTTTGAGACTCCAATAATTGTTAGCATTTGATACTTAGGACAGACACTCTGTCCTTCACAAAGTGCCGAAAGGGACACCTATAAAGAGAGACAGGAGATGGATTTCTGAGGACCAGAGAAACCACCACCCTCACCATATCTGCAGTTCCAGGTTGGTGCTGTTGATGTCTGGGTCATCAAAAGCACAAGTCAGAGAATGCTGGCTTCCATCCACTTCCAACTGGCTGTAGCACCAGAAGGAGTATTCATCCCCTTCTGCATCTTCTAAGTCTCCTGGGAAGAACAGAACACAGCTGTTAAGGAGGCAAATGAAGGCATCAGTTAAAAACCTGATAGTCCTTAACAAAATGTCGCTGGCATGGCAGACATGAAGGAGAGCTTATAGTTTATCTAAAGAATCAATTCCAAGGACAAAGGCAGCGACATAGTTTTAGCGCACATGCATGAGTGCGCGTGCACACATGCACAAACACACTCTCACACACACATACACACACACATACCCCAAAACTCCAAAATGCAGGTGCAGAGAACAGAACATTTTAACTGAAAAACTTACCATAGTCAAGGAATAGGTTCCAGGTGCATTTTAAGCTATTTTACCATTGGACTACTATTTTAGAAAATTAGAAAAAGCATGAAAAATCCCTCTTCCCTGTTTATATCAGTATATCTGAATTTCTTTGCTACATTTTGAAACTGTATTTAGAAGGTATCTATTAAGGCTAAATTCTCCACTTCACATGATGTAACATATGTAGGAAAGCCAAAAGCCTGGCAACTAGGAAGGGTGTTAAATGATGGTGACCAAGCACTCTGTGGGAATGTAAAATGTTGAAATTATCTTTTCTCCATCCTGAAGTGTTTACGTATTTCAAAGAAGAGCTCCTGTATTTCATTCATATGCCCCCTAATCCAATGTTAGTTTTCATCACTGGTCTTCATTTGTTCCCTTCCAAGTACTGTTTTCAAATGAAATATATGATAATAACTATTTCAGTTATAGGCACATTATGAGATTTATCACTGCGCCCTAAAAGATCACAACTAAGAATGATATTGATGCCTCCATTGTGTGAATTGAAAGAATCTTGTCTTAAATGACTGACCGTGACAGCTCTGACTATAAATTAGTAAACCCCAAGGATGCCCAAGGATGTGCCTATGTGACTAGACTTTTGTTTTCCTTTCTACTGTATTCTATAGGTACCAGAAAGTAAGAAGTGGAATTTTGTGTCTGTGTAGTCACTTTTGTAAACCGCAACATATTAAAGATATTATTTGATTTCCTAATCTGAGTTGGACAGCCCACGATTAAATAGGTATTTGTGTGTATAGATATAATATCATATTTAAGAGCAGAATAAAGTCAGAAAATCTTTCAGCACATACATTCCAATAAGGACCAGGAAAATCTAGAGCAATCAAAGGTTTATACCACAATGGTGGAATATGTAGAGCCTCTGGCAGCTTCTAGTTGTTTAATCTCACCCAAAGCAAAGATTTTCATGCTTCTCAGGGTTTGATACGCTCTCAGAACATACTAACAATGGGTCCCACCTGAGCGACTTAGCAGCCATATGCAGTTTCAATTGCTTTTTCTTAATTTAAAGAACCCCAAAGGTCTGTAGAAAAGTTAATAAAATTGGCTGCGAACAGACCAACCAGGTAAGTGACTATTCTAAGCAATAAATCTAGACATGGGTGGTGGACGCTGCTCACAGCCACAGGCATTTAACTTTCCTTTTTTCTTTGTCTCTTTTTGAGACAGGGTTCCTCTGTGTAGCTTTGTAACCTGTCCTGGGAATCACTTTGTAGACCAGGCTGGCTTCTAACACACAGGCATCTGCTTGCCTCTGCCTCCTGAGTGCTGGGATTAAGGTCATGCACCTCCACTGCCTAGATGGCATTTAACTTTCTAAGCTTTCCCTGAACCTAGTCATTTCACAACTAGAGCATCAGCAAGTTTCTTTGCACCTTTTCTGTGTATGCTTTCCCCATTGACAGGATTAAGTAACAAAGGAGCAGCCCTATTTTAAGAGTTCATATTTTGAAACACGTTCATTTTTAATTTTCTAGACTTAGCCGTCTGCCTCTCTGAGCTGTCACCTTTCGGAATGGAATGGCTCTGGATGGATTTGTACATCCCCACACTGCAGCTCTCAGCTCTCATACTGCCTTGGACTTTGCTTTTACTTGAGCATCTCACCAACTCTATATAATGGCTATGAATTACTATTTGGATTTAGACATCCCGTGGGTCGCATTTATTACACAGTTTACTCATATTTGACAGGAGCAAGAGAAAGCACACTTCCAGCAGATGTCAGGAACCAGCTAAAGGGAGGACTTCTGCAGACTCCAACCAGCCAGTCTGACAAAATATGTCTCAGGTTATCTCTCACAATATGCAAGTACCTGGTCATGCAAATTTTCCTGGAATCAAAGCATCTATGTTTGAACACACAGTTCATTGACTCTTTAAGAGGTGTTGTTAATGGGGCCCAGTTGCTCTGTAACCAAAAAACATTCCCATAAATGCTAGTAAAATCACATGCTATTGTGGGAGAATAGTCACTTGATGTGAGGTGAAGACCTTTTTACTAAGAAGTCATGTACACAGTGGTTGAGTGATGTCATTTTGGGACAGATGTGCACGTGAATCCTCACTGTTCTAACTTCGTAGCTGTGTCCCCTTTCTGTATACTTGAACTCCCAAAGCTCAGGTTCTGATGCATATGTGCACTTTGTAGGAGTCATTGAATAGATCTATACAAAGGTTTCTCTTAGATCACTGTAAGTCCTCCGTGAGGGTGAAAGCTCTCTTATCAGTCTTTGAGAAATCAGAATGAAAAGATAAGATGTGAATTATAATTATGAAAATAAACTCACAACACTGGGAGTTCTTTTGAAAAAATTATCTATCAACTGCATTTATTTCTGCTGTTTTGACATTACATGGATTGAGTTAATGTCTTAAGCATTCAATAGTCAGTATCCTTAGTAGGCAAGTAAATAGCTAAGCATTTAATAAAAATTCTAACTATAGAATTTTTTTTTTTTTTTGGTTTTGGTTTTTCGAGACAAGGTTTCTCTGTGGCTTTGGAGCCTGTCCTGGAACTAGCTCTTGTAGACCAGGCTGGTCTCGAACTCACAGAGATCCGCCTGCCTCTGCCTCCCGAGTGCTGGGATTAAAGGCGTGCACCATCGCCTGTAACTATAGAAATTTAAAGCATTTGGAATACATTTTATAAGCAAGACAGTGTCATTTAAAAGATTTCTACCCACAGGGTGATTACTTGGTTAATGGTGTTAACTGTTGGGGCCTTTGATGCTTCTTATGTTTGTTTCAATCATCCTCATAGTTATTAGAAAACTAACTTTATCTTTCAACCAACAATAGTAGATTACCTGTGAATTCCTTCAAGCACAAAGCAGAAAGTATTTTGATATGATTATGTGATTGCCCCCATGTTTTTAATAGAATATTTATTTATTTTTTTGAAATTTAAAAGGTTGAAGTAAAAATCCAGTTTTCAACATGGATTTTCACTTCTTTTCCAAATAGTATGGTCAACAGGAAGAAATCGTGGTGAAGTATTGCACCAAACAGCAATAAAGTTCTCATGCTTCCTGCCATGTGTTTGCACACATTTAACATGAGACCGGGGACTCTTCCTCACAAAGTGACTCATGCTCAGTCACACTGAGAAATGTCACTCCTCTGACAATTCTCTTAGAGAGAAAAAGCAAGGGATTTCCATCCTTACATATACTAAGCAAATGGACACAAATGTCAAAGGCGTAGGAAAAGCATGACAAAGGGAACTTAACTGAAAAGAGCCGAGCTGAGTCATGAGAGGCTGACATACCTCAATACTGTCTATAAAGAAATGAAAACCCCCGTATTTTAAGACAAGCTTTCACTCTATAACTTAGGCTGGCCTGAAACTCATGATCTTCCTGTCTCAGACTCCAGTGCTCTGGAGTTACAGGTATGTGCAAACAGGTACACTCAATTAACACATGCACATATAGGCCAGGCATGGTGGTACATGCCTTTAATCCCAGCACTCAGGAGGCAAAGACTCCGTGTGTGTGTGTGTGTGTGTGTGTGTGTGTGTGTGTGTGTGTGTGAAAGCAACTTAATTTGTAGAAACAAATGGGAGGTTCAACTTCACTGTGGCTCCTGTAACTTTTAGACACTTTTGAGCACAGTCTTGTAATTAGAATGCATAGTTTTGAGGAGTCGGATCTAAGGGTTTTATGCATTGCAAGAGAACTGCAATGGCCATATGATGGGTTTGCTGAATACAAAAGCAATCCCGTGTATTTCAAATAAGACTTTACTCAGCACTCTACTGAATTATACATTAGCAATCTAACACAAATCTGTCAAAACTAAAGTTATATAGAAGAAATACATTATCAAGTAATTCCCATGTTCTAGGCACCAGAAATAAAGTTCTGGTTAATGCACAAACCTATTGCTTCTGATCATTCATTTATTGTGAATATTTATGATTTTAGAACTCCATAAGCAGTTCAGCAAAACAAAGATAGCTTGATTTTTTTTTTCTGGCAGGTACAATTCTGGAAGAGATTCTCCAACAAGCACAATCAGAAAATTGATATGAGGCTTCTTTTCTGAGATCACCAGCCTCTATCCACATTTATGAGCCAGAGTTTGAGTGAAATACATTACCTCTCAACAGTCTTGTGAGTTACAAGCCATCTGCAGTATTGTCCTAAGGTCCTTTGTCCTGGTGATTACTACATGCAACATAACCAAATGCATGTTAAGTTCTTGCTGTCCCGCTCCAGCCTGTTTAGAACTGAGGAACCTGTCCAAATATGCTAAAGACGATCTGAAATCCTTTAAGAAAGAAGTTAGAAATGACTCACCGTTCTGTGCATTGCCACTTTCTCCCAAAACAGCTTGAAATAAACAGAAAACTGTCGCGAAAGTTTTACCCAGAACCATCATTCTGGGAGAGAGAAGAGAGAAGAAGCACGCTTGTGTGTGCAAATGAATGAGAGAGGGGGAGACTCAACCAGCTCTGTGCCTACTTAACCACAGACGAGGAACTATGAACACATTACAGAAGGCAAGTGCCAGAAACAGGAAGTCTGAGCAAAAGGATTGCTGCTTTAAGCAGAGGTAGAGAAAACAGAGAGGTAGAATGTGATATTTTTTTCTGCATCAGTATTTGTCAGGACACACAGAGATGTGAGCCTGTTCCACCTTGTCTGAAGGTCAGAGAGTTTGAGCTTATTTTTGCTCTTTCAAAGTTGTTGACAACAAATGTGGCTACGAAATAACATATCCTGACTCAGGGTGTGGCTACTTGGTATTTTGGACACTCAGATGGCCCATAGAGGTGGATCCACTCCACCCTGAAACAAAGGTCTAGGAATTCAAGCATACTCCTATGCTCCTTCATTTGAATTAGGAGGTTTGACATAGGGAATGGCTGCCTACAGAATATTTTGTCTAGGGTGTGTTCCCTGCATATTCCTGCCTAGAACATCAAATATTTTACTCAGGAAATAATGACTTGATGTCTCAAGTATTGAAGCAAGTAACTCTTCTGGTTGTCCTTTGTGTCATGCTAACATAGTCTTTGCCTCCCATTTTGTAGTGGAGTATAAAAGCATATGGAAAATAAATGTGAGTGAACTCAGTATTCAGTATCCACTGAGTTGCCCTCCTGTTACTATCCTGTGTCTCTGTGTTTCTTTCTTAACTCTGTTCCTCCTACTTAACATTTCTAACCCTCACAACCCTACCCTGGGACGTACGAACATACCCTGACTAGGATTGCATTAGAAGTCACCTCAAAAGGTGACTTATGACAACTATTCCTTGAGGCACCCAAATTTAACTGCTCACTTTTGAGCAAGGTGCTAGATTTCAAGTGATGGTTTAAGAGATCTCGAGGCCTACTTTAAAAGGATCACACAGCAAAAATCCAAACTCACAATGTTCAGCATTTGGTTGTTTGAGTAGACTTTTCTTTTAGAAAAATGTTGCTAGAATATAACTGTCCCACTTATGGCTGAACCCCCAGAGGTCACTCTCAGTTCTTGGCTCTCTGAACAGTTGGGAGTCTTCATTAACTGCCATGCAGGGAGAAAACTGCTTCTCCGATGAGGGGCGAGACTGCACTATTCGTTGGGTATAAAGACACCCATATCTAGAAGACAGTTTGATATTATTTATTTTCAACAATGTAATAGTAGTATATTTTACCTTATGGACTATGACCTCCCCAGGCAAGGGTTCTTGTCCAGGTTTAAAGTACCATCCACGATCACTCCTCTCAAAGTCTCAAGAAACATCATAATAGAGAGAGGGAATTTTGGAAGGGCCAGGGGCCAGGGAACAGAAAGAGATACTGTGAAATAATCTATTCTAGAAATGTTAGGACCTTTGCATTGATAATTTCATAGCAGCTGTGGTTACCTACACAAGACTGGCACAATAACAAGTCAATCAACAGTCCAACATGGATAGGGCAGGGACTCATGAGGTCCCATCCCTAGCTGAGAACCTACTGGCAACTTGATAAATACTAGGGGAACAAGAATCCATTTCCTTTAAAAGTGTGTCCCGTGGTAGATTGCCCAAGCTCTAGTGGACAGTCCTATGGTAATAAACACAAAACAGCACTAATCAGGCTCTGCATTATTAAGTAAATGGATATGAAGTTCTGGAGAAGAGTAGGGGAAATAGCAGAGGGTAGTTATAGTTCAAATACACCATATGTAAATATGCATTTTCTAAAAACAAACAAATTTACAAAATGAAGACTCAATAATTCATAAATTGTTAAAGGTTCATTTAAAATATTTTATACTTAGTCTTTCAGTGTATAAAAACAGCAACGTTTCTACTGTGTACTCTTGAGTATCTCTAGTACAGACCTGTATTTAACTACTCAGCACAGGCATGCAGGGATTAGTAAATGCAACAAAATCTGATCCTTTGTCTTTTTCATAAGCAATACATTGTTAGAATTCAATGTTACCCAGTTGTTTGTGTATTGTCTACAGCTGGTGTCATGCAACAACAGCAGAGATGAGTGGGCAAAGGGGGAATTGGGTGACACACAAACAGCAAAACTTTCTGGCTTCAGAAAGCTTCTTGTGATCTCTACATAATTTTTTTATCAAAATGTTTAAAACATGATGTGGTATTTCCCTCTGTATGCTGTGATTACCATTAATGAATAAAAAAGCTGCTTTGGAACTATAGCAGGGTAGAAGTTAGGTAGGTGGGGGAAACTAAACCGAATGCTGGAAGAAAGAAGGAGGAGTCAGGAGAGAAGGCATGTAGCCCTGCCAGAGACAGATGCTGGAACTTTAGCTGGTAAGCCATAGCCTCATGGCAATAAACAGATTAGTAGAAATGGGTTAAATTAGTATGTAAGAGTTATCAAATGAGAAGCTAGAACTAATGGGCCAAGCAGTGATTTAATTAATACAGTTTCTGTGTGATTATTTTGGGTCTGGACAGCTGGGACAAACAAGTGGCCCTCCTTTCTACAAATTGGCACCAATGTGGTTGACTAAAATCCACTTAAAACCTGAGAGGGCTTGGAAAGGAATTCTAGACACAAAAAATACAGAGTTTAACACAGCTTCTTGCTGTTTGCTGGTGGTGTGTTGCAGCTCCTTTAGGGGAAGTTTTCCTGATTCAGCCAAAGCAGAAAGAAAGGTAGTTTTGAAATGCTGACTTTCTGAGCCATGCTGCCAGCATGAACTCTTATGAGGTCCAGCTATCAAGCATTTAAATGGGTTTTGTGTTTAGAGTGCTACAACTACTTGATGGCTCAACATAGACCTGCTGCATACTTGGAACTGGGGCAATGTGCATGGCTTGCAGAGGTGGTGAATGGACCTCTTCCACCATGTTAGACTGAGTGGAGCAAGCAGGCAAGGCCATGTTTCCTCCAGTAATGCTGTACCTTAAGTTCATAATAAGGACTTAGCATTTTAGCAAGCACTCCTGTATAGTAAAGAATTACAGATGCAAAATAAAACAGATTCAGACATAAAAGACCTCTAAATGAGACCCAGTGTTTAAAAAAAATGTACATAGGCTTGGGATAGAGAAGAAAAAGACTAAAAGGACAATAAATATAATATAAAAGGGTACAGACAGTCATAGATTAAAGGAAAAAAGATAATAAATATTGAACTTGTAGAAAAAGTAAAACAAGACACATAAAGATGGAATGTACACAGAGACTCTGGATTATGTATATTATTGTGTTTTCTTTGCATTTTTTGACTGCAGAGAGACATTTGATTCTGGGTATTGCTAAGCTAAATCAACATATACACTTTAAAGGTATCTTGTTTTCAAAATATGGAACTAAGGATATGTTGCTTTGGAAAAGAGGATCTTCTTTTGTTTCCACATTGAATGAGAACCTGTGGAATACTTCCACACTAATGTGGTTTGATGGACCGAGACCCCCTGAAAGGTTGCCTTGAACACCCCTCAAAAAATTAATTTGCCCAATAAACAGCAGGAAGCAGTTTGGACAGAACTATGCCCATATTCCTGAATATTGTCTATAAATGTTTATTTATATTTAAAGGGGGATATGCTATAGAGATTTGTATTGGTATGGATCTTGGTTTATTGATACAAATTTAAGATCAATTATGTTATATGTACATTTCTGCTCTTAAGGTATTATGTTTGTACAGCTCATTCAAATTGTAATGTGTAATTAAGAAATATAGTTTATATATAATCATCTATAATAGTCAAGCTTGTAGCCATGTTAGTTAGATTTTCTAGATATATAGAGATTTATTTCAGTTAGAAACCTGGATCTAGTCCATAAGGCACAGTTGTTTTCTTTTTTTTTTTGTTTTGTTTTCTGTAAAAGAGAAGAAAGACTGATCATAAAGGAAGAAGTTTAGAACATCTGGATGAGCATGAAGTTATGGAATTGTGTTATATCTCCACCATTAACATGAACCTATAAAATGACTAAATTAACATAGATGAAACATGGATCACAAGTCTGAACATTATTAGTCCCCCAGGAGCTCCGGAGTTTGAATACAATTAGTCCTTGAAAGCTGAATGACGTAGCTTCTCTTGTCGTGACTTTGGAGATGATGTAATACAATAAGAAAGAGGGGGTAGGCTATTTTCACTTTTCTTTGGAAACTCCTCCTCAGGTATGAAAGCATCTCAGAGACAGATGTGATTTGCATTTGTTATAATGTCATGTGCTTTACTATACACCATAGAGAAGTTTCAGGAAAAGAATTCAACTAAGGTGGCATATTCTATCCCTGCTATGTGTCTGGGCTTCTTTTGTAAATTTAACCAAACCAAAATAAAAGATGAAGATTTGGGGAATCTGGTAGTCAATTATGCTTTTGTTTCTAATCTTGTTTTGAAAGCTTCATTGCAAAAACATTTTATTTACAAAGCGTGTTGCACATTAAGCTTAACATGCTTTCTAGAAATCTACAATAATAAATTCTCAAAACTATGTAAAAAGAGCTAAGGAGAAATATATGTACACATCTCCAACAACCCAGACCTCATAAGCTTCTTATGAACTGTAACTCCATGGTTGAGCAATTGGGTCATGTCTCTTTAAATTCTCTTGTTTATCATTTAAGTGGACTATCATTTTGATTGTATCTCTTTCCTTTAGTCGTGAAGATGTAAAAGAACAAAGTCAAGACATAATATTTTGGTACAGCATGTGCTAGTTCGCTCAGGGGGATTTCCACCAGTGTGCTTAACCCCTTTTGGGTGGGGCTGGAGATGCCGAAAGGACATCAGAGAGAAATCTAATAGCGTGTGGGGAGCTTAAAGAAAAGCAAGAAACATCACTAATCTTTCTAGAGATTATGGGTGAGCAATGATAATTCTGTTTTCTTTATGTGGATCCTTTGAAGCTGAGAAAAGGCGAAGAACTTCTCTTTCTTGTAACCCGTCCTCCATGTCCTCCACATGACAGGCATTTATTGCATTGCTTTGTCTGTGTTGTTAGCAAGAAAAACACAGACAGAAAGGAGGCTGAGGGAAACCTCTCTGGATATCGGAGCACTCAGGACCCAGGTGGTCCTTGGGTGTGGCAGTTTGCTCAGATCATCAAGCTCCCTTTCTTACTCCTCGTTTATATGTCTTTGGTCTCATGAGTTC